GCAGGGAGCCCGATGCGGGGCTTGATCCCAGGACCCTGGGATCATGACCTGAGCCGAAGGCAGACGCTTAATGACTGAGCCACCCAGGTGCCCCTAAATAAATTCAGTATTAATTACACATTATGTTCACAGGGTTGAGTAAGATCTTTCTCCTTTTAAGAGAAGAAAAATGTTCTTTAAGCTAAAATATTAAGTTTGTTTCACTTAAATTCTTTATTCTGCTTTTGCTATACAAAGTAAGTCATAGAAACTCTTAAGATGCATTTTGACATGTAATTATATTGGAAATACTGCCTTTGACGCTTTACCAACCTTTTGTCTTCTTAAAACATTTTTATTTGTTACCAAACTAATGTATGTCTATTATTTATAAAATGGACTGAAGAAAAAATTTTTTTTCACAATTTCACTATCTAGTGACTACTGACATTGTTGTACTGTTTCTCAATCTTTCCTCTCTCTCTCTGTCTCTCTTTGAGTTATTTGAGATCATTTACTTCTGGATCTAGCCTTTTTCACTTAACACAGGAAAATGCTTATGCTGTAATATTATTATACACATTGGACAGCAACTTAGTCTAATAGTTTAAGATTAGTCAGTGGTTTTGGAGTTAGCCTGCCTGGGTTCAAATCTGGACTCCACCTCTTACTGTTGTGTAATCTTGAGTAAGTGACTTTCCCTCTCTCAACTTCCTCATCCATAGAATGGAATGTTACTGGTACATACTACAGGAGGCTTTTATGAAAAGTGGATGAGTTAGTATTTGTAAAGCTCTCAGATAGTGCCTGGCACAAACTATGTACTATATGTGTTTGTTATTATCATTTTAATGTTGGCATAACAGTCCATTGTATTGATGTACCATGTGTATTCCCTTAGCACTGGACATTTAGATTGTCATTCATTTTACCAGCCTCAGTGTATTTTATTTTATTTTATTTTTTAAGATTTTATTTATTCACTTGAGACACCGAGATACAGAGAGAGAGAGAGAGAGCATGAGCAGGGAGAGAGGCAGAGGGAGAGGGAGAAGCAGGCTCCCCGCTGAGCCAGGAGCCTGATGTGGGGCTCGATCCCAGGACCCTGGGATCATGACCTGAGCCGAAGGCAGATGCTTAACCACCTGAGCCACCCAGGCGCCCCCTCAGTGTATTTTAACTTACAACCACTTCTAAATATGACTGATATCTGAGATTTTCTATGTTGTCAAATATTTACACTGTATGGATGCTCTTTGAAGATTGTTCAGCAAAGTTTACATTAAGTATAAAATCCAAGCATTTTTAAGAATCCAGCCCAAAACTAGATAAATGAGTGGGAGAGAAACTGTTTATGAGACTTGGGAAAAGCACAGTTAACTACAAGTTTCAGAAGTCGGCACTACTAAAAATGGCCATCGTTTTAAAATAATCTCTCCTATTGGTTCATAGTTTTTAGTTAAGTTAAACATATCAAAATTGCCTGAATGGTACTGTAGTATAAGAATTAGAGTAAGTGTATTGTTGCCTCATTTTTTACACATCATGTACTGTCCCTCTCTCCCAATTCTTCCCACTGTGTACTCACTGTACTTTTCCAGAACAGTAACAGGGTAGCATAATGGTTAAGACGATGGACTTGGGGCTCGGGTCCTGGCCTTCCCATTGACTAGCTATGCAGTTATTTGATCTCTCTCAACCACAATGTCTTCGTGTCTAAAATGGAAACGATAGGGGCTACTTTGTAAAGTTCTGAGGATTAAATGAGATAGTTTCGAGCCTGGTGCTTGGGAAACACTGGTAGGTACTTTATTATTATCACTCATACCATCCTCACCACCACTACTACCATCTCATTCGCGCCATTCCACTACCAGCATCATCACTTCTTCCACTTCCTGTTCTGCTGGAATAGAAACGTGATTCCCAGGACATGGCTTTTCTTGTAAACTTTTTAGACGTTATTCCTTTTCTAGCATCCAGCATTTGTTTCATAAGACTGAGAGTTCAGCATTCACCAAGTTTACCATTCCCACTTTGAAACTTTCTCCAATTTATTACGTATCCCACCTACCCTGGGGCTCCCAGAAGCCTGCTGTATCATTCTGTCTTAATTATCTGCTCACTTCATAGTCATTTTCCTGTGTCATAAGCTCGGTAAGGGCTGCATCCTGAGCAACTAGGTCTCTGGCTGGCACATGGCAAGCATTCAGTAAATATTTGTGGAATTAATAAGTGGAGGAATCTTGCCCTGGCTCAAAACTTTCTACTTCAAGTTTTACTTTTAGAAGAGACTCGTGGACTTCCATGCGTTAGTGTCCTCTTCTAAAACAAATTACCATGAAGTCGGTGGCTTAAAGCACATATTATATGTAGTTATTGTCCTACAGTTCTGGAGGTCAGAACCCTGAAATGGGTCTCACTGGACTAAACTCAGAGTGTCAGCAGGGCTGTTTTCCTTCTGGAGGCTCGGGGCAGATTCCATTTCCTCGCCTTTTGCAGTTTCTCGAGGCTGCCCACTTGCCTTGGACAAGGCTCTTCTTCCATCTTTGGAGCCAGCAGTGGCAGACTGAGTCTCATGTTGCATCACGCTGGCACTGATTTGCCTCTCTCACTTATAAGGACCTTTGTAATTACACTGGGTCCATCTCAAGGTCAGATGATTAGCAGCCTTAATTCCATCTACGATCTTGCCACAGTAACATAGTAACGTAACAGTCGCCAGGGAGTGGGACAGGCAAGTCTTTGGGGGACCACTATTCTGCCTACCACAATCCATATCTACAGATAGTTCCTTATCTTCCCAATTCCAGTTAATTTACCCCTACCCCCCTTTAGCCCTTTTTAGCTATGGCCACACTCTGGACTGCTCCTTAAAACTGCCCAACTCCAAAATCTTAAACTACAGAATTTTATTTTCTGACCACAACTTTCAGTCCTTCTGTATTTTGCAAAAGTATGTAGGGGCCTGATTGTAAAGGCCTTATGTACTAGGTTAAGTAGTCTGAACTTGAACCTGAACAAAGCGTGAAGTCAATGCAGATTTTCATCAGGAGAAAAAAAAAATGAATGATCCAAAACCAAGAAAACCAGCCTTCAAATAGGAAATATTGAGTTAATTCTATGTTTTGTGCACTAATCTTTTTTTCTCCTTAATCCGCTTTTAATTAGGAAAAGGAAGAGGGAAAACATGGACCCTTAGGAGATAATGAAGAGATGGCCAGGATATCTACTGACAAAAAACAGGTGAATTTTTATGACTTTTAAGAAGACGTGTTTGTAATAACAAAGCAAAAACAATGGTATAAAGTAGACCAAAAGTCCTTCTTATACTCAAGTTTCCCATTTCCACTTACAAGGCAGGTTCTTATATACCCTTCATATCCTTCTAAAAGTTTTCAGTGCATTTACAAGACTATACATGTCTCTCCTCTAAAAAACAAAACAAACCCAGATTATTTTATAATATGCTCCCACATCTTTTTTTTTTAACTTTCAAAGTTAACTCTTGATACATTTCCATATTAGTTTGCATAAATGTGTTGAGAAACACTCTTGCACAGTTCTCTCGTACTCCAGCACATCTTGCTGGTTTAAAGAATGCAAGGCCCTAACTGTTCTTTACCTAGGCCATTTCTCAGAGTTGTGTTTGCAGCAAGCAACCTTGAGGGTTGAGCTAATGTCTCCCTCTGGGACAGAAAGGAGGTTTGCTTACTGTCTATGATAAAACAGCAATCCCCAGGCTTGGTGTTCCTTTCCTATAACACAACCCACTTCCTGTCCAGGAATCCATCTGGGCCATCTGCACGACACCCGTGGGACTTGTGGGCAAGGGAAACATCACAAACATGGTGCTCATACTGCTTGCTGGGCTGTGAATGATCAAGTAGTCTCTGAGCCCAGAGGTTCATGTGTTCTGTCAGCATCAATGGAACCGTAGCAGGCTAATTTACTAGCTTGTAAGAAGGGTAAAATCAAACCCAGGCCCGATAAGATGAACTTTGTTCTTTTTACTATTGCACAGTATTTCCTCGTTATTTTAATCTTTTGAGTTTTCCAGAGAGATTCTGATTTATTGGGTGTCTAATGGAGACAAAACACGTATATTTTGAAAAAAGTTACCTTCGTGATTCTGATGTGCATTCCTGGAGATCTCTTGATAAGTTCTGAGAGTGAGTCTCTAAAATGCCCAACAAGAATATAGAAATAATTTGTCTCCGAATATTTAGATGTTTTTCATTTTAAGAAAGGCGAAGGCAAAAAAATAGTGACTCACCACTTAATATACTAATTTGTTTACCAAAACGCAGACTGTCCTCTTTTGCTTACATTTTACTGTAAATCCCTGTGACTAAGATAATACAGAGGGCTTTCCAAGATGTTAGTGAAGTGAAGCAGTCAGGATCCAGAACAGTGATTCACTAAAAAGTTTTAGTCTCCTGGGAGTTGCAGTCAGTGGAAGTGCAAAATGGAATGCAACTTAGGCTGTTATTTGCTTTGTTTTGTTTTAAGTTTGGGATGGAAAAATCTTTGTCTCAAACTTAACATTTTGGCCTTAGCTAAAAACAAATGAAAGATAAAAGATATTTTCTGAGGTGAAGAGGACTCTAGACAAAAAAGTGATAAATTAAACTTAGCCTAAAAGGTTGTTCGTTTTTTGTTGTTGTTTGTTTTGTCTCTGCACCTATGCTGAGGGGCAAGGGAGGGGTAAAAGATTGTTCTAATAATAAATCGAGTACTTTTCCCGCTTATTAGGAATAGTTTTGGGTCTTGAGAGGTTTTTTTAGGAATAGTTTTTGTTTTTTTAAGATTTTATTTATTTATTTGACAGAGAGAGGGCACAGCAGGGG